CACCATCATCACCACCACCACCACCATCACCACCACCATCATCATCACCACCACCATCATCACCACCACCATCATCACCACCACCACCACCATCACCACCACCATCATCATCACCACCACCATCATCACCACCACCGTCATCACCACCACCATCATCATCACCATCACTATCACCATCACATTGTAATCATCATCGCTACCACTAACAAAGATTTTACTCTTACGTTTAAGTGGAAGGTTTACATCAAGAGTTTGCCAGGGCAGGATCTGACGTCCTCCAGGCATTTACACACCATGGTCTATGGGTAAATATATCAGAATTTTAGGATTATTTGAATTTTTTTTCTCACTCGATAGAACCATGTGTAGCAGCGTTTTGTTGATGCAGATTTCGAGTATAAATTTACACATTATTTTATTAGACCTAATTACCAGGAACAGTTGCGAAAAGTTCAACTACAGGCTCTCTGGCAGGAATCGAATCTGTGGCCTTGCGATTTTGTCATGACACTGACTCAATAAGAGATAATTCTTACTGGACGTCTATAGAGAACAGTTTAGAACTGATAGAGCTATCCAGTATAAATAAAGATAATTTAGTTTAGGTTTCTTCCTGTAGTAACACTAACTGGGTCAATAAGAGATTATCTTTACTGGACCTCTAGGAAGAACAGTTTAGAACTGATAGAGCTATCCAGCATAAACAAAGTTAGTTTAGTTTAGGTTTCCTCTTGTAGTAACAATAAGAGATGATCCTTACTGGACTTCTAGGAAGAACAGTTTAAAACTGATAGAACTATTCAGTATAAATAAAGTTAGTTTAATTTAGGTTTCCTCCTGTAGTAACAGTGGATCAATAAGAGATGATCCTTACTGGACCTCTAGGAAGAACAGTCTAGAACTGATAGAGCTATCCAGAATAAATAAAGTTAGTTTAGTTTAGGTTTTCTCTTGTAGTAACACTGGATCAATAAGAGATGATCCTTACTGGACTTCTAGGAAGAACGGTTTAAAACTGATAGAACTATCCAGTATAAATAAAGTTAGTTTAATTTAGGTTTCCTCCTGTAGTAACAGTGGATCAATAAGAGATGATCCTTACTGGACCTCTAGGAAGAACAGTCTAGAACTGATAGAGCTATCCAGAATAAATAAAGTTAGTTTAGTTTAGGTTTTCTCTTGTAGTAACACTGGATCAATAAGAGATGATCCTTACTGGACTTCTAGGAAGAACGGTTTAAAACTGATAGAACTATCCAGTATAAATAAAGTTAGTTTAATTTAGGTTTCCTCCTGTAGTAACAGTGGATCAATAAGAGATGATCCTTACTGGACCTCTAGGAAGAACAGTCTAGAACTGATAGAGCTATCCAGAATAAATAAAGTTAGTTTAGTTTAGGTTTTCTCTTGTAGTAACACTGGATCAATAAGAGATGATCCTTACTGGACTTCTAGGAAGAACGGTTTAAAACTGATAGAACTATCCAGTATAAATAAAGTTAGTTTAATTTAGGTTTCCTCCTGTAGTAACAGTGGATCAATAAGAGATGATCCTTACTGGACCTCTAGGAAGAACAGTCTAGAACTGATAGAGCTATCCAGAATAAATAAAGTTAGTTTAGTTTAGGTTTTCTCTTGTAGTAACACTGGATCAATAAGAGATGATCCTTACTGGACTTCTAGGAAGAACGGTTTAAAACTGATAGAACTATCCAGTATAAATAAAGTTAGTTTAATTTAGGTTTCCTCCTGTAGTAACAGTGGATCAATAAGAGATGATCCTTACTGGACCTCTAGGAAGAACAGTCTAGAACTGATAGAGCTATCCAGAATAAATAAAGTTAGTTTAGTTTAGGTTTCCTCCTGTAGTAACACTGGATCAATAAGAGATGGCCTTACTGGACCTCTAGAAAGAACAGTTTAGAACTGATGAAACTATCCAGTAAAGTTGGTTCAGTTTAGATTTTCTCCTGTAGTAACACTAGCCTTTACTGAGGGTTATTGTTTATTTAGTCGCGAACGGAAGGTCGAGACGAAGTCAACGAATCAGCATGTCGAATCGTGAAAAAAGTTGCCGCACAGTACAACTGCCTCTGGGCTGGGGGATTGTGTCCCACAAGCATTTATGGACAGGGAGGCTCGAAGAAGGACGTGCAAGAATATTTTAAAGGACAAGCCGAAATCTTTGTGCGACATGACTCTGATTTTATAATTGTTGAGGTGGGCAAATTCTTATATACAGGGTGTCCCAAAAAATATCATAAATATTTTCCAGATATTTACGTAGCTAAGTATTGGTGGACATCGAAAATTTAATTTAAGAGATGAATTTTGAAATACAGAAAGAGACGAACACTGGATCAATAAGGGATAGCTCTTACTTGATCTCTATGGAGAACAGTTTAGAATTGATAGAGCTATCCAATATAAATAAAGTTAGTTTACAACAGTTTAGTCTCGGTTTTCTCCTGTAGTAATACTGGATCGATAACAGATGATCCTTAGCAAACCAGTATAAATGAAGTTGGTTGTTTAAGAACCTTGCATACTTACAAGCAGGGGCGCGGCTTGACTGTAGTATTGGGGGGGGGGGGGG